TTTGAAAAAAACCATTGGGGAAAACTGCCGAAGAAGTCGGGACAAGAAAGACATGTCTTGCGGGTCTACGTGAGCCTGAGTAGTCCCAAAAGGATGCTGTGTGGATCGGTGGAGTCGGCTTCGGCATAGGTTTTTTAAAGGTTGCGATCTCGTCTGTAAACAAATCTGGTTTCTCACTAAAAAATTTTTTGGTGCCCGGGATCAAGCGGGGGTTCCAATGACAAAAGAAATTTTGGAAGAAACCCATTGTTAGGGTGAAAGTAAAGATAAATTTAGGGCATCATTGGTGGAGTTCTTTGGTAGGAAAGCATCTCTCCTGTGTTGCAAAAACTTTGTTTAGACCCCCTTTAAAATGTGTTCCGGATAAAAACGGGCAGGGAAAATTAAAAAATTCAACTGATTTATCAAAGAATCAAATCATCAAGCCCAACCTGCGCATCGGGGGAGCGTAATGGAATAAATTTTTACACGTAGTGGGTGAGAAACGTATAGGGGAAATAACTGTGGAATCCGTGGGTTTGTAGTGGCTGGGGTTTTTCAGCCCAAAAAATCGTCAAACGTGATGTCAAAAAATTTAAACTGAAGGGGTTGAATCTGAGTGTTTTTGATAGCCGGATTAAAAGTTGAGAAATTTAAATAAATTTCAGCTAAACCCATGGACATTTCGTGATCCAAACGCCATCTCTAGTACTCCTATACCCCCCCGGAATTTTCCCCGGGTAGATAAACGACCTCGTTTTCCCAGGGGGCCCAAAAGAGCCCAACTAGACCCATTTTGGGTGCCCATCGCGCCCCACTGACGGGTCAAAATCTCACCTTGAATCAACGATTTAAAGGGAGTCCCAGTTCGCAAGGCTACGACAAAGTGGGGTATGGGGTTTGGGCCCTTCTTCCAAAAGAACGGAGGCTCAAACCATAAGTAGGGATTACTATAGAGGGAAAATACGTCTTCAAAAAAGAGATAGGTTTTACCGGGGAAGTAATCTGAGGGTTCGAAAATGTTGGGCATGGTTGGTGTCCTTGACAAATGAAGGGAGACTTGGTGACAATCGGTTGGGAAAATACTATCTAAAAATTCAGAAAGATAACACCGGGGGACAGGAGCAATGCAGATACAATGGGACGTCCAGGGTTGTTGGGGCTTATGGATCTTAGGTCGCAGTACATACACGGTTTTGGCCGAAGTTGGCTGTCAAAAACACGCAATATTGTGGGCCTGATTAGGAAGAGTACCCTTGTGAAATAAATGATTGTAACGTGTCCTTGACTTTCTTATTGTTGGAAACTGTGGGGTAATCCGTCCCTTCTTAGCGGAATAGAAAACGGGGTTTCTGAGTTGGGGGTACTGGCTTCCTATATAAAGATCTTTCCTCCAAACACTACAGCGCCCCTTGGTCATCTGATTTTATAACAATATCGTTCCTCTTTCTGAGGGAGGACTAGTGCCCCCGCCATTCACCTTTGGAGAGGTTGGATTTACTTACAATGCCTTTGTTCCAACTGTTGTAGTAAGGAGGCGTGTCGCTGATGTATAGATCAAGCGCCTTAATTTACAGCAGGAGGAGTCCACTGTAACGGGATTTGTTGGCCGTTGAAAGAAATGTAGTTCTGTCAATAGGCCAGTGGGGGCGGGTGGTTGACCCCGTGATGATGTTTCAGGCGTAGAACGGCGGAATAGAGGAGTGTGCTCCTGGAGGAGAGTTGTATTTGTCAGCACGTGGTCTTG